GAAACACACTGCTGAGGGGAACATCAGACAGATGGGAGAGATTTGCTGCACCATGTGGGTCAGCTCCCTGGCCCATCACTCTGCCAAAGTGGCTGGCCATAGCTTGATAGTGCTGAGACTTTAACCCCTGAGTCACCAGGGAGTCCCAAGTTGTGAGTTTTAAATAAAACAATCTGCATATGGAGCACCAAGCATATTGCCTGACATTCTCGGGGCATCTCCATGTAATAGAACATCAGCTTCCCACAAGGTGCTGGGAAGGTTGAAGGGCTCCTAGGGATGTTTTCACATGACAGTCCTAAGGAAAGAGAAGGCTGAAAGCAGTTCTAGCATCTGCACTGGGGCCTGACAGCAATCATGAGTCAGCCCCAGGTGCCCAGGGACCAGCAGTGTTCTCAGCACTGCTGGGCGTGTGCTGTGGTCACTTGGCCACGGTCCTCTTCAGTCACACTGTCTGATCATCGTTCTTATGAATCTGGCCTGGGTTCTTTTCAGAAAACAGCCTCCACCATGTGATGTCATGGTGCTGCCTGGGTCCGGGAAGGAGGAGGAGGAAGTTGTATGCATGTAGCCGGCTGAAGCAGGATCTTCCTATTTCTGGAGGGGCCAATGTGGCCCTATGAGCAGCTCTCTGTCCTTCCTTCCTTTTTTTTTTTTTTTTTTGCATAGAAACTGGGGTGTAGGCCAGAGGTGGGGGGCTGTAAGAGGATTCACCAGAGACAGTGGGGAGCAGAACTGCTGAGGGGAGCAGAGGGAGAGCCAGGAGAGGTCTGCTGTACCATGTGGGTCAGCTTCCTGGTCAGGGATGGAACTTAGGCCATAGCAGTGATAGTACTGAGACTTAACTCCTAGGCCACCAGAGAGGACCCTTCTGCCCTTCCTTTTTAAGACCCAGTAAGGAATCAGTATTCTGATCTGAAGTGAGAGGGAGGTGACAAATCATAATGGGTAAGGCATGAAGCTTAGTCTCAAGGTATCCTATGCTCAAGTTCAGGCTCTGGCAATTACTGGGAACTTGGGCCAGTCCCTTCTGTTTCCCCATTTCACCCATGGACAAGATAATTCTGATGTTATGTTGGTAAGGCCCGAAGCCCTGAGCATTCAGCACATGTGCAGAGAATACACTGTGCAGTACGAAGCAATTGTTCAATAAATGGTAGCTATTGGTCACTCTCCCAGCAGTTGACGAGGGATATGGTTTGACCATTTTGTCTGTTTTTCACCAATTTGAGAGCCAAAGTTTTCTACAACTATTCTTCCCTCTGAGAAGCGGCCATGCTCTTCACATTGAGTGTGCCATCATTCTGCAGATGAGGAGCTTAGGGAGCAGGGGAGTAGCTATGTTCCTGCCCCTTTGCCTTCCCTCATTTAGTCTGCTGGCTCCCTGACTGTTGCTCCTCTGGTTCTCTCTGCCAACTCTCTGTCTTCTGAAGTCTGTCTTCTCTCTCCAGCTTGGAAGGATCAGCCCCTTCCCTACCAGAACTTCTGATTTCACTGACCCTGACTATTCTTCACATCTGTGCTCTGCTCTTAAATTTGCAGGCATCTAGGGAAGAGGCCAGCATGTATGAGTGTCTCTGCACTGTATAGATGCTAATTCTAGAAAGTTCTGCATGTAATTTCAATGTATAGGTGTCACCCAGTGCTTTCTACTCTACTCTCCCCAATGTTGTTCTGAATGTGTGTGTGTGTGTGTATAGGTATGTGTGTGTGTAGCGGGGAAGGCTGAGGATTAGCAATGGTATCTCTCGTAATGATGGAGTCATCTCTCTCCCTGCTCCGTGTGGAATGGCCTTTGGCTGTAATAAGATGAGAAATTTATGCGGTAGTAGCATCCCTGTCTAGAAGTCAATCTAGGTTGGGGTCAGAAATCTCAGGTCAATGTCCAGCAGGACCAGAATCAGAACCCTCCCTTCCCAAGCACTAAATGAGAGTGGGGACAGAGGAATAGGGAACTTAAAGACTAGAACCTACTGGATAGAAGAAAAAAAGACTCCACTCCACTGAACAGAAGACTACACTGTGGTTAAAAGGAAAGAGGCACATCTATATATGGCATCATGGAAAGACACCCAGGACATGTTAAGTAAAAAGAGAAGTCACTGAACAATGGGGTATTAAACCTTATTTCTGCTTTTTTTAAGTCCAAAATATGTGGTGCATGATTAAAAGTATGTTCTTAAAAGATGAAATACTGCCATTTACAGCAAAATAGAAGGAGTTCAAGGGAATTATGTGTAATACAGCAAGTCAAAATGACAAAGACAAATTTGGACATTTACATAATAGACAATTTGACAAAACACAATATTTATAAAAACTAGTTGACATTAATCAATGCAGTGAAGTTGGGGTGACGGAGAAAGGGCCAAAGAACATACAAAAAGCATATTCTTATAGCAAGAAGGATCTATTATAAGGAAGAGTGGGGTTAGAAAGGCAAGGGAAAGGCCTCCAGGGATGGAAAACAGAATGACCCCTGAGAGTCAGCCTCTGTCTGGAGTGCAGCCCTTCTCTGTCCCACTGCTGCAGAACAGAGAATTATCTTCTCTGACAACTTAGAGGAGAAAGGTGAGATTTCCAGTCCAGTTCTGCCCCGAAGGACCCCCATGGAAGAGCCCCAGTTACTAGGATGCCCCAAGGCTCAACGCAAGCATCGAAAAGGTAGGAAAAATGGGAAGAGGAAGATCAGGAGGAGAAAAAATTCCCAGGGTCTCCAATGGGAGGGTTTGGACCCCGAACTTCAAGAACGACTAGAATCAGTTCTCTATTAGACATCTCCACACGAGGATGCAAATTTAACCCCGGCTCTAGGCTCAAAGAACACTTTCTACCAAGTCACCTCTATTTTCCCTTTTGACGCTAAGGTCATTTCATGTAGGAAAACATTGATCCAAAGACATGAATGGCCTTCAGAATCCTAACGAATGCGAATGCTCGTGTGGTTTTCATCCATTATTGCCCTATTTAAAGCCAACATCTGCTTTTGTCAACCTTAATCTTGAACTCAATCCCAGGCTTAGGCTACAGTGGGCTCAGGTGGTTCTGGCCCCAATCCAGGGGACACAGTTGGTTTTGCTTACTTGCTGCTCCTTGCTTCCTCCTCCCATTTGATTACCCAGAAATCTCCCTTTGCCATGTTTCCTTCTCGGAAAGGGCAGTAGGGGGCGGGAGGGAAGGATCTGGTCCCTGGCTTGAAGTGGCTCCCAGGCTGCCTGGCTCTTTCCTGCACACTGCAGATGGCTCTCCCCAGGAGGGCTTTGAGTTCATGCCAATTGAGCCACCTCCCTTCTCCCGCTGGATGTCTTGCTAAAGCAACCTCTTATTTTTTTTTTTTAAGATTTATTTATTCATGCATACAAGAACTGGGGTACAGGCCAGAGGTGTGGGGGTGGGGAGTGAGAGGATTCACCAGAGACAGAGTGGGGAGCAGAACAGGCAGATGGGCCAAAAACACTGCTGAGGGGAGCAGCAGGCGAGACAGGAGAGGTCTGCTGTGCCATGTGGGTTAGCTCCCTGGCCGGGGATTGAACTCGTGCTGCAGAGGCAGTGAATAGTAAAGCAACCTCTTGACCCTAACTATGAAGGAAGACAACAGGTTATCAGTGGGCAGGATTCAAAAGCCTAAGACCCTGAGATGAAGATTTGAAGAGAGACCACAAAAGATAATTTGTGGTGGTCAGGAATCAGTAAACTGGGACAACAGCAGCAGCTGAATCCAAGGGTCAGTGTCTGGGAGTAATTTAGGAAAGTTTGGTGCTGCTGACAGCTGTGTCTGGAGTCCAGTGTCATAGCCAAACTAGCTCCTGGGCTCCTTGACTGCTTCAGGCTAACAAAGCTCTGGCCTAGGACCACAGCTGTGGTGTGGCAGACGTCAGGCGTCTGGGGCCCCAGGCTCAGCCTTGCTGCCCCCCAGCAGTGTGACCTTAGGCAAGTCCTTAGAAAAGGAGTCAGGGAAGCTGGCATGTGCTGACTGCAATGACTTTGCTCCTCGGCTGTCCTCACTATGGTCCCTGAGAAGGGTACATCCCCATTTCACAGGGGGGAATTGAGATTCTGGGAAGGTAACTTAAGTCTTTCCAGGTTCCACAGTTGGGCAGTGGGAGGTAGAATGAGGACTAAGGGCTTCTGAACTTCACTTCTGGCCCTTCCCCTGAGCTTTAGCTTCTCTGTAAAAGGAGCATAACAACGCACCCAACCTATGAGTGAAGCCTCATCCTAGAGCTCCTAAACCTCCCCCTCTCACCAGCTGGTCCTGACGAGTTGATCCTGAATTCCCGGGCATGCACTCATCTTATTTTGCCCCCCTAATCAGGTTGGTGACCCCGGAGGTGCCTGGAAGGGAAGGCATTGGGAATTTGGTTTCCTCTCTACCTCCTGGCCTTCTCCGCGCTCCGGAGGGCCAGCTCCCTCTTTGTCTCCCGGGTTTTGGCAGGCGGCCTGACATCAGTGGGTGTTCCCAGGGAAAGGGAACTCTGAGTCCAGCTCCAGGCGCTCCTTCCCCTACGGCCCAGGACAGCCCCAACCCCCCGCTTCGGAAACGCTGGCGCGGAGAAGCCCGTGGAGCCCCCACCCCTCGCCCTTCCTAGGTCTCGGAGAGCAGCTCGCCCCCACCCCCACCTCGCCGGCGGAGAGAAGGGGCGGCGGGTGCCCCGGGAGTGGATGCTCGGAGACCCGGGCGAGTCCCGGGCGCCACGCGGCCGAGCCCAGGAAATGGATCCCGCTGCGGGGTGGCGCGGGGAGCTGTCCAGCCCCGCAGGGTGCGCTGGAACTCGGGATGGGCCAACGGCGGAGGGAGCGGCGGGCGCCAGGGCGGGTGGGGCAGCGACTCCCCGTCCAGCCCGCCGGCCCGGGGCGTCGCCCCCGCCCCCCACGTGGCCGCGGCCGTCCCAGCCCCTGCGAGGAAGCGGCGCGGTTTCCTGCGGCCGGGGCCGGGGATATAGGCGCCCCCGCCCGGGTCCGGCGCAGCCCGCCGCCCCTCCTCGCCAGCCAGCCGCGCGATGGCCTCGCTCCGGGCGGGGTGCGCCGCCGGCGGCCCGCGGCTCCCCGAGACCCACGCTGGGCGCCCGGCCGCGCTCCGCCTCCTCCTCCTGCTGGGCGGTGAGCGCTGCGCCCCGGGCCCGGGCGGGAGGCGCGGGAGGCCCTGGAGGGGAAGGTGGACGGCCGAGGCCCGGGCGGGCTCCGGAGGGAGGGTGCGGACAGCGCGGTCCTTTGGACCGTGCCTGGCCCGCCGGCGGCGAGCAGCCGCTCGCTTGGGGAAAGCTGGGGTGCCGGGGCCTCGCGGAGAAATCCCGGCGGTCTGGGGCGGGCGAGGAGCGAGGGGGCTTGGGCCAGGACGTGAAGGGAAAGGAGCTGGTGCCGGCTCTTCCCTCCCCGGCGCCGAGGCCACCCCCGCCCCTCCGGCCCAGGATCATTCTTTTTCTGTTTTGAGGGTAACCGGAACTTCCAAGGGTCTCAGTTCGCGACTCCCACCCCCACCCCCTTCCAGGCTCCACTGCCTGCAACGCCGGCACCCCACCTCCCTCTCCCTTTTCTGCTTACAGCTGTCCTGAAGCCCCAGGAGTCCCTGGCTCAGCTTCATCCCACCCCAGGCAACCTGGAGTCTAAAGGTATGCACCCCCTCTTCCAGGCTCCATTGCCTGCAAGCCCGTCACCCCACTTCCCTCTCCCTTTTCTGCTTACAGCTGCCCTGAAGCCCCAGGAGTCTCTGACTCAGCTTCATCCCACCCCAGGCAACTTGGAGTTTAAAGGTACTTAAGTCGGTGCCAGCGCCTTGGGAGGGTGGTCTACTGGGAGGGTCCCTTTACCACAGGCAGGTCCCAGCCTTCAGTGGTGCCCCCACTAAACTCTCTCTGTTCCCTCTTGGGGATCCTTGTGGTCTCCACCCTCTCACCCCTCTATGCCCACTCTACACTGGCTCACCTCACAAGTGTGTTAGAATGAAAAAGGTTATGTGGAGACTTGTCAGGCTGGGAAGTGCTGCTCACATAGAAGACATTAAAAATTTCCTGGCTGGGACTCACTTTAACCAGAAAAGTCTTGCTTTCTGAGATTGTCCTGGTGATTCCCATGTTTGAAGGACATGGTCCTCATGTCCCAGTCCCAGGGACAGTGTTTGCCCGGGGATGGGAGTACCAGAGGGCTTGGAAGGGGGGCAGGGTGTGGTCCATGTGCAGCATCTGTGCCCCCAGGGAAAACGGTGGCAGAGAGCTATGAGACAGTCATTACCCGGCTTTGCTGGCAAATTTATAAGAATGAATTGGACTCTGTGGAAAAAGACTGGTGCGACTGGGCTGTGATTAGCAGGTAGGAACAATGCTGAGGTTGGGGGCCCTGCTCCTTGTGGGTGGGCCTTGAGTGAGTGTGGGGCACTCCTCTCTATGGGCTCAGCTCCCCCTCACACTCTCTTCCTCTCCCCCAGGCCTTACAGTGACCTGAGATCTTGCTTGGAGCACTGGGCAGAGGAATACATGCTGGGTTTCCCCAATCCTTGGGCTGAACAAATCATCTTTGAAACTCACCAGATACACTTTGCCAACTGCTCTCTGGTGCAGCCTACCTTCTCAGATCCCCCCGAAAATGTGCTCCTGGCCATGATCATAGCCCCCATCTGCCTCATCCCTTTCCTTGTGACCCTTGTGGTGTGGAGGAGTAAAGACAGTGAGGCCCAAGGGTAGGTGGCAGGAGCTTCTCAGCAGCCACCCTGGTCTGCTCCCCTCCCTTCCTAACTCCTCTCACTCCCACCCTCACCGAAGATCCATGAGTCATTGGAAATGAAAACTGGATGGGGTGGTCGTGCAAGTTCTCTAATCTTCAAAATAAAACTTTTTTGTACACTGGCCTCCCCCCTGACAGTGGGGGCCTGTGTCCTTCCCTGAGTCTCTGCCTTACTCACAGGTGCTCAGCTCTGGGCAGCAGAGCTCAAGAATCTCCGTGATCCCACTGTTTTGTTGGTTTACCTGCCCCCCCATTCCCCTCCCCCCACCTGAAGGCCACACCCCTACACCACTTCCTTCGCTGGCCGGTGCCTTTCCTGCCCAATCCAAACCCAGCTCCAGGAAAAAAGCAGGAAGAGACTCCCTTCCGGTCTGGACAGCTGCTGGAGAGGTGTGGGGGAAGCGGTAGGGAGGAATCGCTGCTGTGAAAACTGCAAGAAGGAAGGGGCGGGGCCATCTGGGAGCCCTGAGTTTTCCTCTGCATGCCTCAGTTTACTCCCAGAACCTGGGGATAGGAACCTTTATCTGACCGACATGTGTTCGTCCTTATGGACCTCAAGATTCAGGAATTATGGAGTGGGGGCGTCCACTACAATATTCACCACAGGACTCTCCCTCCAGGTCTCTTGTCCCTCATTCTACCTTGTCCTGGGGTGGGAGGAGGATGGGGGAGGGGTGAGTACAGCCTTGTGGAACACTGCCCCCTGGTGTCCACTAAAGTCAACAACCAGAAGATGGATGTGACCTGGAAGAAGCTCAAAAGCAAGAAACGATTGGATCCTGGAGTCAGACACCTGTCATCTCCATAACAACCACTAGTTTTTAGTTAGTGGATGCTATCAGCTTCTGGAACCATACTGATATTTTTTTTAAGACAACTTCCCCGCCTCCCTGGTGGCACAAGGGGTTAAGCACAGCACTGTGAAGCTATCCACAGCCTCTGCAGCACGAGTTTGATCCCCGGCAGGCCAGGGAGCAACCCACATGGTGCAGACCTCTCCTGACTCCTCTGTTGCTCCCCTCAACAGTGTATTTCAGTCAATCTGCCTGTACTGTTACCCACTCTGTCTCTGGTGGATCCTCTAACCCCCATACCTCTGGCCTGTACCCCAGTTCTTGTATGCATAAATAAATTTAAAAAAAAAAATAAGACACCTTCCCACTTTTGGGCGACATACCTAGGCTCCGTGAGAGTCACCTTTTCTGTGAACTGATGCTCCTATATGTCCCTGGGAAGTGCGGCTGTTCATGTCCCCCCTGCCAGGTCACGAGAAACATCTCCATAAAGACGCTTGTTTGTTCTTTGTGGTCCCTGGAGCCTTTTTAGAGATTTTTCCCCCCTTGTTGAAATGTCTACCTCTCTGAGTACATGCATATTCATTTCCTGGACAGCATGTCTATTCCATGGATAGAGGCCTGCATGCTTCCTGGATATATTCATTGATTCTCTAAGACATATTTTTCCTAGCAGGATAAGACCCTGTGTGCGGTATATTGTATTGGAAATACATGTTAGCTAGGGCCTGGTTTCTGATCTCAGTGGTTTTCATCTTGTAGGGGAGCTAACACATACACAAAGAAAAACAGGGTGTGTGATGAGAGTCAGGCAGGAAGTATAAGCCAAACAGTATCTGAACACACAGATGGGAAAGTCATGTCTAGCAGAGGTGTGATCGGGAGGGTGACCGTGGAATTGATACATGACTAGGCCTTAGATGGAGTATGTTCTCCTAAGGGAGAGAAAACAAAAAGAGGTAAATCGGGAATTTACCTCAGGAAATTATTGCAGTATCCCAGGTTTGAGGAAATAACTAAAGGAGTGGCAAATGAAGAAGTGAAAAAATAATGTAAAAGCAGAGATGTGGCCTCCCTGGTGGTGTGAGGGGTTGGGTCTCAGCACTATGAAGCTATTGGCAGCCTCTGCAGCACGAGTTCTATCTCTGACCAGGGAGCTGACCCACATGGCGCAGCAGACCTCTCCTGTCTTGCCCAAAGCTCCCCTCAGCAGTATATTTCAGTAGATCTGTCTGTTCTGCTCCCCACTCTGTCTCTCGTGAATCTTCTCACACCCCGCACCTCTGGCCTACACCCCAGCTCTTATATGCATAAATAAATAAAATAAATTTTTGAAAAAAGTAGCAGAGATGATTAGAAATAGGGAAGGGAGTTGGATCAGAGGACATGAAGGAGAGAAGAGGCTAGAGCTGACTCAGGCTTTGAACCTGAGTTACTAGGACAACAATGGAAGTAATAATAGAAAAGGGCCATTAGGAGGAGGAACTGGCATAAAGAAAAGGATGTAGAAGAGGAGATAACAATGGAACAAATGTTATGCCTCACAGAGAGTTGGAAATTGGAGTGGTGATGGTGGTAGAAAAAGGTTGGAGGTGGAAGTCTAGAATTAGAAGTGTTCTGCATAGAAATAGTATATGAAGTCACGAGACATGAGAATTCTAAGAAAAGGGGTACTGAAAAGGAGAAGGCTGAGGTGAGGTTCTCAGGAAATATCCACATTTAAAGAACATGGGAAAGGGGCCTCCCCGGTAGCACAGCAGTTGAGTGCTGGGTTGCCAAGCTGCCAGCAGCCTCTGCAGCGCCCCCTCTTCCCCGCCGGGTGAGGGTCCCACGTGGCAAAGACCTCTCCTACCGCCCACTGCTCCCCGCTCTGACTCTGGTGAATTCTCTCACCCTCCCGCGCTTCTGACTGTACCCAGTGCATGTGTAAATAAATAAATAAATAGATAAATAAATAAATCTTTAAAAAAATGAAATAAAGAACATGGGAGAAAGGTGACAAAGGGAAAGGTCAGGAGACAGCAGCTGAATGAGGATAAAGCAGTGCCACAGAGGCAAAGGAGATGATGCCCTTAGAACATTATCGAGTGAATTGTTCATTCACTCATTCAACAAATGTTTGTTGTGCACTTGCATGAACAAGGAATTCTGCACAATGAATGATGGACTTGGATGGGGGGAAGTTAGAGATCAAACAGGAAATAGGGTGGCAGAATTAAGGAAATTGTACATATTTTCAAGTATGATTTGAACATGTTTGTAGTCTTGGGGAGGAGACAGGGAAAAGAGAAAGAGGGAAAATGATACACAAAGAAATCCTGGAGGATCTTGGAAAGGAGCAGCAAGAAGATATGCCAAAGGGTTGGCCCTGTATGGGAAGAGAGACACTTCTTCCTTTTAGTTCAAAAGGAAGACACAAAAGTGAAGAGGAATTTTTGAAGGATGAATCTAGTGTGGTGACAGGGGACGATTAGGAGGTTCACATGCATGGCCTCAGTCTCATAAAATAGAAGGGAAAGGTATGGGGGGAGGGTCAGCAATTCAGCAGGTGGAATAGTTTGATGTGTGGGAAGGTTTGAAGAGCTACCTTGAGAGGGATGTGACATGTAGCCAGCAAAAGAAAAAGTATCACTGGACTGCACTGAGAGCCAGACAGTGAAGTTAGTAAGAGAATCTGGGGCTCAATCAGCACGTTCGGGTTATTTTTCCCCAGCACCCCGAGTGAGGTGGGGAGGGGAGCAGGGAGCAACAATTGTGATTTGGGTATTGACCAGCAGGTAAATAAACAGGCAAGGGGACAGAC